AAACTTAGAAAATCCAATAACTTCTTGAGGATATTTAGTTTTAAAAGAAACATAAAGTTCTTTAAGATTACATAAAATAAGACGCTTTTGCATGTGTTGTTTTCTACCAATACTTACGTAATCTTTTTTACCAGGCATTTGTCTAGTAAATTCTTCATCATGGTATATATTGTTGACTCTATTTCTGAAAATGTTTTTCCTTTCTTAGTGCCTGGAACTGAAAAAATCCCACTCATTTTCTTTAGTTTGCGCGCTTCTTTAATTTGGTATATAGTGACGTTGAAATATCTTGCAGCAAAATTTCTTGACCAAGACTCGGGTGTAAATGTTAATAACTGAATTTTAGTTTTTTGGTCAGAAACAATTAACTTTTCTTTTATTTCTGCTGTTAGTTTGTCTAAATCATCACATTTACTTTTGTCAATAATTTTTGTATGAGGAATTTTATGCTTCAGTTATTCTTCCCTAACATTATATACTTCTGAAATATGCTCTTCATACTTTGACATTATTTTTATAACTTTACTTTTAGCAACAGATAGCCGTTGATGCTTTGGAATGCCATGAAGTTTTATGGGGGATACACCTATTGTTTCTAAACTAACATTTAATGCCTCTCGTGACTTTTCAGAAGTAGTACATGAAATAGATTCCTCAAATTCACAATTATCTTGTTCATGAAATTTACTGATTATAGCGTCAAAGCAGCTACGACAAAGTTGATATCCAGGCACAACATTTGGAAAATTAATTCTCAATTGCTTTGCCATGTCTAATGTTATTACATGACTCCCTGAAAAGAAAAGAACAATTTGATTTTAGTAATTACCTATGAATATGAAAATTATTTGTACTTATTTCCATATACATTGCATAACCAGATCAGCTTTTTTTCAAACTTTTATAAACTAGTAGATTTTAATTTCATTATTCAAAAAAGATTTTACAATAATTTTTTATCAACAATATTTACCTTTGATTGCTTTTTTTTTTGATTTATGCTTGTCCAATTGCAACATTTTGTGTGCTTCTTTTCAAAGTGTGTACCAAAAATCTTTTCATGATGAAGGCAGATTGTTAAAATTTTATCATCTGTTATTCCAGATCTCCAAATAAATTCTTCTCTGGCATCTTCTCTATAGCAATCAAATTTCTTTAAATCAATCTTTCTACAATAACTTAGTTTATGACAAGTATCATTTAATTTTTTTCCAAAATCACATGAATCCATTCTTACTGTAACACTAAAAACATTTTGATATTAGTTTAAAAATGAGAAACCAATAGTAATTAATTCAATGAAAGCAACTTAAGCAATCACCATGGTAATACAAAACTAAATAGTGATTGATTTCTTTTATCTTACTTTGACAAAAAGAAAGTTTCCTTTTCACAAAGTTTAATTATAATCAATTTGTTAATGTTAAAAATGTTAATGATGACTTTAATAGGTAACAAATTTCTTCTATACTAGTGTAATGACAGGATGTTTTTTGTTACTGTAAATAGTTCTTATTTAATAAAATAACTTGCTGTTAACATTTTAGAATTAGCAAATATCAAATAAAATAATGATTTTGAAAAATTGATAAATTTCTTTTTTATTGATATAATGTTATGACAGGATGTTTTTTTCTGTTGAAAGTTAATTAAACAACTTGCTGTTACCATTTTAGCATTAAAATATATTAATCTTTTTTAAATTAAAATTTTAAATTATACAAAATAAAATTATGGTAAAACCATTATTTTGTTGACTGTTTTTAATCTTATACATGCAAATCAAAATTCTTATAAACATTAACTTTCTTAAAACATTTTAAGAAAGATCATTGAACATAGAATGATCAAAAACCAAATTGAGCAAATATAAATCACAAAAATTTGTGGAAGCAATGTTACCAAAGATATGTTTGACATTGTTAAAAATAAAAATCTAAAAAAAAATTTTGAAGACAATAGTTTCATGTGTTAAAATGTGTTTAAAAAAAAAAAAAAATTTTTTTTGAGAAAATAAATGGGGCATGGTCCCTGGTGCCCCAGCCCCATGGACCTTCTAGTCGTCTGACCTGAAACTATTTTAAAGCATGTTCATAAGGACTACACAAATGCTGAAAGTTTCAAAGCTCACGCTTGTCTGGAAGATACTGAAAAATCCATCTCAAGATTCTGGTCAAAAAAGTGGGGCACATCCCCCCAGCCCCCTCCCCTAGTGTCTTGGGCCCTTTTTTAATTTTAAAATGCACATTTATTGACACTACATAAATACCAAAATTTTCATCGTTCCAGCTAGTCAGAAAGGTAGTGAAAAATGTATGGCAAGATTCTGCTACAAAATAGTGGGGCCTGTGCCCCGTTAACCATATATGGAAATCCATATACTTGCAGATCAAAATTTTTATGTTTTCTGAAAGATCATTAAACATAGAATAATGTGTACAATTTTTTTTTTTATATCATCAAGGCCACATGGCTTTCTTGAGCATCAAAACCAGGTATATAAAAAATTGCCTAAATTTATTTAAATTGATAATTACAAGTACTTAAAAATTTTTTTTTACATTTCTGATTATTTCATTGGATTCTTCGACCCTGAAAATAGCCAGGTACAAATTTTTAAGTTAAAAGATCAAATATTTTTAAAGCTATGTGACTTGGAACCTTTAAGCAAAGGTCACACTTCTGAGGGGACAAGAGGGGCCTGGCCAAGATCAGTTAAAAGTAAAATGATCATATTTCATGATCCTCTTGGAGCTAGAAGCTAAAATTTTCAAGGATTTTTTGTTTTACTAAGTACTCTCAACTGTATAAAAATCAGCAAAATCTGAGATGTATGGTGACATGGCCTGGCTCAATTGACATGGAATTACTCTAAAGCGTGTACACAAAATAAGTGTGAAAGTAGAAAAACAACTTAAAAAAGGTACTCGTTGACTTTTTTTGGGAACTAAGTAATAATATTAATACATTAATATAAGGAGATAAATAGTTTTAAAGAAATTAAATTTATTTTTGTGTGTATTTAATAAAATTTTAAGCTTTTGTTTTGGTGGTACCCATAAGCTTTTTATATTTTTCGTCTAATAATTACCCAGTACTTTGCAATAATTTTTAATACAACCTTCAGGTCATTTTTTTTATACCATGTCATAGCCAGTTGGCTATAATGATTTGATGATAAATCAGACCAAAACACACGTCTACTATCATGTGATTTAGTAGGAGGCAAAAGATGTTTTTGTTAACATGTTTTAACATATATTTTACTAAAAAGTGTAGGTTCAGAAATATAGAGTGCTTACTTTTTGCCATACCTGCAAATAGCTTGCCAAATCAAAGCTTTTTTTTAGCAAGTTTATCATTTTTTGTGTATCTAAATTTCTTATCTGCTCTTCCTCTATATTTGGAATTATAATAGACAGCATTCAAAGAATGTAGTGGCAGCTGTCAACAGTATATATAGACAGCATTAGAAATTTGCTCATGATTCTACTTCATATAAGATTCATCATCTTCAATAATTCAGAAATTTTTAAAAATATAAAAATAATTTAAAAATAGTTGTCACACAACTTTCTTCTGTGGGTTCTTGTTTTTTTTTTTGAATTTCAGAACAGTTAGGCACTTTTTGTGATTTGAAAGCTTGAAAAACATGTTTATATCAAACTTTGAAAATCCTCTCATTTTTGTGCGTATCCTTAGTGTGCTACTGAATTGTAAAAAAAAAGTGTGAGGCTTTGATTATTCAAAAAACTGTGAACCAGTTTTCTATATAGTTTTATATCTTCAAAAACCTCCTTTCCTCCATTACCAGATTTTCATTTGATTGATTTTGTTCAGGAAAAATTTTAAATAACATGATTACCGATGTAGAAATTTATTTGAAACTTTTTTGCTACTAATTTGTAGCTAGATTCACATTTTTCATAAAATTTGTGCGAAATATTTTTTTTAACATCTTTATTTGTCATTTTTAAAACCTATTTTAAGTTAATTGGGAAAACTAAAATCTTTTTTTGAAATCATTACATGTTGCCACCAAAATCCAAACACAATGAAAAATAAATTAATACAACCACTGAAAAAAAAAAGAAGTATTAAGAGATAATAATCTGCTGTAATTGCTAACAAATATGAATATATTCTATTTATTATATTTCAGCTGAATTATATCAAATTTAAATTCAAATCATTTTTGTATAATAAATAAGTTGATACTCTTTTATTTTTTAGTTCCTTAATTTTTATATATATTTAATTAACATTGTAAAGTAATATTCTGCACCCATGCCACATTTTTGGAGCTGTCAAGCTTAATTGTTTGGGGAAGAATCTAAAAAAAAACTAAATATTTTTAAAATAAATGATCTTTTTAAACAAATTCACCATTTAAAAAATTGTCTTTTATACAGCATTGAAGGGGTCATATCAAGGGATGGGAGCCAGAGGTTTTTTGGAAGGAAAGTGGGTTGAGCAAGAGCCATTAAAAAATTGCCAACTCTTGGCTCTTTTGAATTTTAAACATTTTCTTATCATTGTTTTATTAATACATTAAGGGTATAAGTCTTATATTGCAATATTTAATGTTGTATAATAAAATCTTTATTGTACTTCTATATAAAAATAATTTTCGATATAAAATATAAAATAAATAGAAAGAGTTCGAATTAAAATATAAAATTTGACATTAACTATTAGAACTTTTTTTACTTAACCAATATTTGCTTTCGGAATAATATTTTATATAAAAATATATGATGTAAATAAAACAAGTGAATAGACTATAAGTTAAAGACTTGTCAACATAATTTTCATCTAATGTTTCATTATTATATTAATTTATGTATAAATTTTTAAAAGAGCCAGAGGCAGAAAATATTTGAGCCAGAGAGCCTGCTCTCGAGTGGAGAGTCTGCTCTCCACCTGTGGTTTTTTTTTCTTTTTGTTATTTTGTAAATTTAATGTTGTTAATTCAGCAACTTAAATGTTCTTTTTTTTAGGGTTATTCTGGAAGGTTCATTTAATGGATCCAATGACATATGGAATTTTATTTTTTGTTGGTACCATTGTGTCAGGCTACTTAATTGCATTTGCCTACAAAAATACAAAATTTACTCTGAAGCATAAAATAGCACAAAAACGGGAAGCTGCTATTTCTAAAGAGGTTATAAAAATTTTTAATATAATTTAATAAATTACAGTATTAATATTAAACTAAAAAATTAGCACTAGGATAAATTTAGCATGACTTAGTAACACAATCATCATCATGTTACTAAGACCACATGGTTTGATAGTTTTGATAAAAATGAAATAGTTGTAAAAGATTACAAAATTACATGACTACATAATAATAAAGTTTTCAATTTTTCATATATTTGGTGATAAAGTTTTTACAAAGTACAATCAAAATTAATTATAATAATATTACAGATAAATTTTTACATGGGATTTTGTCATCTCAGCTTTATATATTTGTATGTGATCAACAAAAATTTTGTTTACTAGTTCTTTACAATTTTAAAATAAATAATGCTAATTTTATTAATATTATATTTTGATAAGTTATTGATTATTATAATAGAAAAGATTATTTTATATTCAATGTAATGATATTTAATTAAATGGAGTCATAAAAATGTATATTATTTGATAATCTTAATTTTTACACCCTTTGTTTACATCGTTTCAACTATTAATTAAATAATGGTTTTTTTATTAAGTTCAACAAATTATCCAAAATGTTCAGTTCCAAATAAATAAGAGCAATAACTTTGTTACTAAGTAACTAACGTGTACATGAGAAATAAATATACCAAAGCTATTAGTACTTACTGTTAGTTAAAATTAAGTATAACTAGCATAATTTGCTTTAAAAACAACTGGTCAAAAGACCAATATAATAGTAAAAATAACAACTAATAAGTTTTGATTTGGTTAAAGGGGTTATATTTATGGCAACGCCTGACATTGGGTAATGAATGTCTGCCTATTCATATAGGATTTATAAAATTGGTTTTGGAATTGCTTATTACAAGTAAAGTAAATTATCATTTTAAATTTGATTGAAACTGAATAAATAAATATTAAGAAGCTAAATTGCACATTGTTTACAGTATACCCATAATTCAATTAATGTTACAATTAAAAATAAAATGCACAATGTTAAATATAGTTTTTTTTTCTTAAAAAATTTTTTATATATTGTTTAACAATCTTGAACAGGTATTCTGAAATCAATTAGATATCAGTGGCGTGTTGTCTCCGAAAAGCACATACGGGATTTTTCTAAAAAGGCCTGTTTTTGCATGATTTTACCATATACGCTTAATTTGAAGGCCCATATATAAACGCTACCTCTCATAACGCAATCAGATTAGAATTACTAGTAATTAGGTAAACTAATTAGCGTTACATTTTCTTATAAAAAGAGCGGACTTATATAAACATTGACATAATTGCTAAAAAATATAATAATGATATATATATATAAAAAGAAGACCGAATGTTGAGGAGAATGTAGAGAAATAACAAATTAGTAGAATCAATAGAAAAACTTTTTAGATATTTAAATTTTTTGAATCATTTTATATCATAAAATTATTTTGACGACATAAAAAGGACATAAAAAAACTGGGGTTTGTCAAAAAATATATATTTAATTTTACAAGCGATATCTTTTTAATAATTAAAAGTCAGCAATCGCGAATTCTTTTAATTTAACAATTTCCCAATCGTGAATTTCTATCTGACCGTTGCGATCGCTTAATTCAAACTTTGACAGTTTCTTTAATAAATCAAAATCGATATGTGATGTAATAAAGTTTTTTTGCTATTTTTGAGTTCGATGTTTGAATGTTATGGAAAATACTAATATCCTTTCAAAGTTTAACATTTTAAATCAGATAATTAAAAAATTTAATTTGTAAAGGAATGAATAAATGAAAAATTAGATGTTGATCATTTAAAGAATATAGTAAATATTTTTTTTCTAAAATTTAATAAAAAAGGTCCTTCTAAAATAAAAAGTTCAAGGCCCATGCGGGATTCCCGCGTGGGTCTTGAACTTTTTATTAAATGCATTATAAATCGATTTAACAAATGCGTTTAAATTGATTATTAGATTATTTAGAGAAAGAAATGTTTCGATGTTTCTAAATTTAGGGTAGCTTTTTTTATTTTCAAAATTGAGGGAAGCACTCACTTATATTTATTTTACATTATATTATTTTACATTTTGACTTGTTTAGATTTTTTAAAGATCTTAGAATATCAACTCATTTCTGTAAAAAAAAAATTCTCCCTTTTTTATTTCTGCCACAATATATAAATTAATATTTTCCAAATTAAAGTGTTTTGTTTTCATTAGGTCACCGCTGAATGTGATTCAAAACCAGAAACCAAAAAGCTCTCCCGCAAAGAGAAAGATGATCGTATTTTGTGGAAAAAGAATAATGTTGCTGATACAGAAGCGACCACGTTTGCTATTTTTTACAGCAACACTTTATATTTATTCATCATAATAACTTGTTCATTTTATCTTCTACGCTCTTTTTCTCCTGCAGTTAACTTCACTGCATCAACGGGTTTAGCAGCAGGCTTAGTAGCTCTTCTTTCAACAGGAAGTCATTAAATTTGTTTGTATAGAATTTTATGAAAGATAAGAAAAATTACAATTTTGAAGGTATATGCTTTCCAATAAATACGTTTTAAACTGTTGATATTTATATTTGCTTGCAGCGGTTTCAAGATACTGGAGCGCGTTCCGTAACCTTGCCGAAATGGCATTTTTGAATTAGCGTAGTTACTGTTATAGTTTTTTTGAATAACATTTTTACTTTATAAAGAATTACTTAGAAATAAATAACATTCTTACCTGCGAACTATCAAGTCTTCTAATGGCTTGTTTATATTCAGAAGTACAAAATTAAATATCTACAGTTTTATATCTAAGGTAAATGCTACGTAAAACAAAAAGAAAAAAGTCGCTGTAAATAAAGGTATATATAAACGTAATGTCATTAGAATTCTAACAGTATAGAATGAAAAATACTAAAAGGTCACCTTGTTTTTGGTAAATCTATCCCTGATGCAACTATCGCCAAAAATGTAGTAAGCATATTGATAATACTGGTCTGCAGACAAATTTGCTGATAACGTAATAAGATGTGATTTAAACTATTAAGTTTAAGATTTCAAAAAATCAATATGTTCGCCGAACGTCTAGTTTTATTAATATAGGTACATGAGTGTGTGTATATATATATATATATATATATATATATATATATATATATATATATATATATATATATATATATATATATATATATATATATATATACAGGGGTGCCGGACTTAGTGATAGCTAACTTCCAGACATGGAGCAAATTCCAAACATGTGTTTATGCTTATATCAAATAAGGATGCTTTGCAAAAAATTGCGATGATTGGAGCTTGAGAACAAAAAGTCACATAATTTTGTTCTGATTTAAAGTCGTGTTTTTAATTTCGGTATCGACCAATCTTGAAACCAAACTAGAAATAAAGAAACAAACCTCCATTATCATTTTTTAAAAATATGCGGTAATAGGGTACATCAAATTTTTGTCAATTTAATCAATTCATGCTCAACATAGTTGAGGAGAGATCCGAAGAAATATATAGCGTTTAGGCCTTTTTGTTTTCAAAAAATGTCGTTTTATTTTGTGTTCATTTTGATTGGTTTATTTAAGAAAAAAAATCGACGAAGTTTGTTGTTTTATTTTGTTTACAAATGTTCTGTAATTTAAAATCTACGAGTTTTAGTTACTTTGGGGCAGCAGTTATATAAAAGTTGAAACCTTTTCTTTTGGTAATTTATTCAAACGACTATAAAGAGATTTTAAAAGTAAATTGCTATGAGAGAAAACTAATGTGAAAACTTTGATTTTAACGTTTACGGAAAAACAAATTATGAGGTTTTTAGCCATTTATTGAATATTTCGATGCTGTAAACATCGCTTTTTACTTTCAAATAAAGATATTTTTAGATTGTAACCACAAAACACATTTGTTTCACCTGTTTTCATGACGCTGCCCTGTCGCGTTTTATGTATTTTATTGGTAGTTTTATTTTGTTTTATACTTTGATTGCAAAAAGATTTATGAAAAAATAATTATATATAAATAATTATAAATTATATAAAAAAAGCTTAAATTCTACTTTTTAAAAATATATAATAGTAATAGTTGAAAATAGGTGAAACACATAAAAAGTTGAAGTTTAAAAATGCAAATTTTAGTTTTTAAGAAATGGAAAAATCTCTCCTTAACTACGCTGAGTGATACTACTATATAAATACATTTCACAAGTACAACAACTGTCAATTGTATATCGGTTTTATGCTACTGGTTCATTACAGGTGAGAAAGTATTTATATTATTACTATAATGATATTATAATAACTAATATACATGAGTTTTCATGCTATATTCTTCTATACAATGTTCTTATATCCGAAAATATTGTTGGCTTAGCACAGGAACAGCCACAAATAGTCATTAAGACTAATCCAAAGTAGCGTCCGTTATTGACCAACTTTTTTCGTACCGAAGTACTACTCAAGGCGGTGGCGGGATTTGAACTCGTATCGTACACAAAGACGTGGTGGGGGTGGGGGGAAGGGGGGTGAAAATGAAAAAAGCTAATTTTACCGACAAGAGCTTTTTTTTTTTTTAGAAACCAAATTTCAGTTTTAACCGACAGAAACCAAAATTTTTGAGTTTTCCGTCAAAAACCGACAGAATATTGCAATTCTGGGGGGGGAGGGGTGTCCCACCCCCACACACACCCCGTCGGTACAGCCCTGTATATATATATATATATATATATATATATATATATATATATATATATATATATATATATATATATATATATATATATATATATATATATATATATATATATATATATATATATATATATATATATATGTTTATAAATATTATATTTGTCCTGGTATTGAAAACTGTTGTCATATTTTTTAATTAATCTTCATAACATATATGCCATTTGAATGTTATTAGCTGTTACGTCGTAGTTAGAGGCTTCGACTAAATAGAAGGTAGCACGAGCATGTTCATTTTAACCCAGTGTTTTTAATAAATTACCAAGTTTTAATAAAAATACAAAAAATAAATTTATTATTTTTATAACACTTTTTAACTTATTTTTGTAAGTTAATAATTTAATGAATAAAGCTGAGAAATATTATTTAAGAATATATAGTTATTTTGCTTTATTTAAAACGTTTTCCTATTTCAAATACTCTGCCGCTATTGGTTGCAAAGTTTTTTTTTCCGATTGCGCCTTCAAATCAACGCCTTTTAAGCTTTTTAAGTTTGACTTTCTCAAACGCGATCTAGAAATTTTCAAGTTTCGTTCGCGCAATCGCTCAAGTTTTTTTTTGAAGTCTAACTTAACAAAGTCTTAGTTTAAGTCAAACTTCACTCAAGTTCGCTTCTTTTATTCCATCCTAAGTTTCATAGTAAAATATTTTAGCGTTCAAAAATTATTACCATATAAAATTTAAACCTCCCTCAATATGAGAAGGTTGCAAATTTTATATTGTCATAATTTTTGAATATTAATGTTGCCATTCATTAATATAGGAATGTCAACCGTATTGCGATTGTTGTTTGCAGTAAATAAACTGATTTTTGTTAGAGTTAAAATTTACAAGCCACTCTGAGCCCCAATCTTTTAAAGAAGTGATCTTCTTCAAGACCTTACTTAGAGGAGAGTAGGTTAAATATTGGCGGCCTACTTGTTTGGAATACTGTTATCATATTTGGGTTAGTTCTTCTAATGATATTCTTTCCCTTCTAGACAAAAAACTCATTTTAAAGTAGTTGGATCTGCTCTATCTGCTAGGCTTGAGCCTCTTTCCCATTGTCGTAAAGTTGCATCTTTTTCTCTTTACTACAAATACTATCTTGTTTGCTGCTCAAAGAAGTTATCATCTAGATCCATTAGTTAAAATTAATTCTCGTTTGACTCGTTATTCAAGTCTCATTCGTTTACTGCAAATTTCCCTGCATGTATTAAAAGATTTTATTCATCTAGTTTTTTGACCCACGCTTCAACCATTTGGAACTGTCTCTATCTTTATGTTTTCCTGACTCATTCAGCCAACAACATTTTAAGTTTTCTGTCAACATTTTGCTTGCTCTATAACTATTTTTTTTCCTTATAACTCCTAACTTAATAGTGGTTGCTTTTAGTCTTATTGATAGTGAATAAGATATAAAAAAAAAAGCAACAAAAAAAAAGCAGAATCAACAAACAAATTATTCAAGATCTTTATTTTCTAAACAAGTTCCAGAAAAACTGTAAAACTTATAGCAGAAAGAGTAATTGTAATACGGAAAAATTTAACCTTTAGTAACCTTTAACGTCCATTTTTTGAGGAGAAAAAAAAAGTTAGAGTAGTTCAAATAAACCCAGACTAATAAGCCAAAGTAATTGTATAGTAGCAACAGAAACAAACACTTCTAAAACTGAAAAGGTTTTTAATACCAGTTCCTGTTCCTTGGTATCTGTTCCTGCTTTTGTAATCTGAATGTTGTTGTCTGTTATGATAAAAATATCAAGTGTAAAAAAGATAATTATTCTGATTTTTATATTTAATGTAGATATAGCCCAAATAAAAAAATGCAATCTTTTTTTTTTTAACAATCATTACATAAATGAATAAAAAGAAAAATATTTTCGAATAAAATAAATACTCGTGTATTAATAGTAATAGTAGTTTCATACAAGTAGTATGATAATGTACATTTTTATGATATTATCATTTAATATTCAAATTCCTGTAGAAGACAAATTATATTCAAAGAAACTATTATCTTACATATCTTTAATATTTTGAACAATCACTGTAACAAGACTGTAACACTGTAACTTGTTTACTTTCAAAAATAGCATTAATCGAATATGGTTTAGTATCTGTTTGCCCAAGCTCTAGTAGAAGAAGTAACTCACTTGAGCTGGAATCTCAAGTGAGTTATATATATAATAAATTAAGTCAATTAGTTGAATTTTGTGATTTTTTATTTTAAAATCAAACAAAATTTAATTCAACAAAAATTTTCTTTTTTCATTATACTTTTAACCTTATAATTTTTCTCATAAAAATGGAGCCTGAAAAAAAAAAAACACCAGGAATTTACAACCTTTGGAAGCTTCCAAAGTTTGTTAATGATTTGATTAGATGTAGGAAGTTCGATTAGAGCTGCACCAGAAAATGGCCTTATGCTTGATCTTTCAAAGCTGTTTTGACATCAACTCTAGTTATAGACAAATCCGAAATAGACAGAAAAAAGAAAATGGTTAAAATTTTATAGGACTTGAAATCTATTAAAAATAAAAAAGGTTACTTAACTGCACTAAAATATGCAGTTAAGTAACCAAGGTTCACGGCTTAATTGGTCAAGAAGTGAATGCTTAAATGTGTTAATATGGTCAAATATATTTAACATATTAAGTTATATTTTTTGTTCATGGAAGAATATATCTATTTTTACACAATCTTCGTATTATTTAAATCATGATAAATACGTATCCAAAAAGATGCTCAATAAACCACTATATAAAAGGTTTTCTAAGCCTTACTCGGCAAAAAACAGGTTCTTCACCCCCCACCCCTCATTTACAAAATCTCTTCGAAACAGTTCTGATCCTATACATTGTTTTATGCATTTTAAATAATGGTATTTCTTAAAGAGTTAGCTTATTAGCTACTAGTCTATGCCTTAAATAAGTTTTCTACGAACTTCATTCTAAACCTGTTGTTTTTCTGTATACCATTTTTCTTTAAGACACAATTTTCAAATTTTGTGAAATACTTTTTTGTGTACACTATAATCATACCTTGCTAGAAAATCTTAATTTGGGCGTGTGCATTTTTTTGAAACATAAACACTTTATTTATTTAATTCGTCTTTTGAAATAAGCTTTACAATGTTTTACAACATAACAATATAAAGTTTTGAAAAATTTTGACTGGAGCTGGCAGAAGACATGGTCTTATCATCCAGCCCCGTTATAACAAATTTAGATAATCTTTTTTTTTTTTAATTTTTCTTTTTCTTTTTTTCTTTTTTTAATTTTAATTTAAATAATTTTTTTTTTTAACGTCAATATGATAACATAACTTTGAAATCCATACATATTAAAGAAAATACATATTGAAAAAACAAAATAAAAACGTATTGCGCCAATATATAAGATATTAAATTAAGGTTAAATAAAGGCTTTTAAAAATAAGTTAGTAATTGTTTATAATCAAAATTTAATATGTGTTGTTGTATTGCGCCTTTAAAATGTAGAGTGGAAGTTATAGCCTTTATATTACTTGTTAGAATCGAGTTCCACAATCGTGGCCCACGGCAAGATATTGAGAATTCAGCTTAAGCTCAAACTTTAACTTAAACATAAAAATGTTAAGAATATTTACTTCGATATTTACTACGACATTAGGCACTCCAAGTTCTCTTAGTAAAGGTTTGGCACTGGTGCACCTGTTTGCGTTTAATATTAAGCGACATGCATGTTTTTGTTTTTTGTAAAATGCATTTAACTTTGCTGGATAAGAAATAAAAAATCTCTAGAAGATGCTTCAAAAACTTTGATTCTGACACCTTTATACAAAAACTTTGATTCTGACACCTTTATACAAAAACTTTGATTCTGACACCTTTATACAAAAACTTTGATTCTGACACCTTTATACAAAAACTTTGATTCTGACACCTTTATACAAAAACTTTGATTCTGACACCTTTATACAAAAACTTTGATTCTGACACCTTTATACAAAAACTTTGATTCTGACACCTTTATACAAAAACTTTGATTCTGACACCTTTATACAAAATATATCTAGTATGAACTGGGAGGTACAAATAAAAGACGACGATATAAATAAATCAATGATTAGTTTTTTAAATACATTTGAAAAGGTTCTAGACAGATATGCTCCCTACAAAGTTTTAACAAAAAAACAAATTAAACTTAAATCTAAACCATGGATAACCGCAGGTATTTTTAAATCCATCTCAAACAAAAATGTCATTTATAAAAAATTTGTAAAAACAAACAATATTAATACAAGAAATCTACTCTTTGATAAATTTAGATTATATAGAAATAAAATAAGCAACTTACTTAAACAATCGTAGAAAATTTAATAAACAAAAAAATTATTCCAAAATAAGATTTTAGAGACTTTCTAAAAAATTCTAATGATTCTTTTTCTTTGAGCCAGTGACTGAAATTGAGGTGTCAAGTCTCAAAAAAGTTTTTGGGACATTTGTTCTTAAGCTTATTCCAAACATAATCTCAAAGCCACTCATTCGTCATCATTCTTTCATCACTCATTCGTAATGATGAATAGCTTATTTAGAAATGGAATTTTCCCAGATCTCCTTAAGATGGCTAAAATAACACAAATACATAAAAAAGGTTCTCTTCTGGATTACTCTAATTATCGCCCAATATCTCTTCTCTCAAATATAAGAAAACTATTTGAGAAAGCTATGCACAACTTTCTGGAGAAACTTGTCTATTGTGAAACTTTTCTTCTTATCTTCAAAATAGAACACAACTTGTTTCTATTAATGGGATAAAACCTGAATTAATAAAGTCAACAAATGGTGTACTACATGGCTCTGTATTAGGACCCTTGCTTTTCCTTCTCTTCATGAACGATCTTAATACCTCTCTGAAATTTTTCACTGCTTACCACTTCGCTAATGACACCAATCTGCTTTTAATAAACAAATCACTTAAAAAGATAAACAAAAATATTAACCATGATTTAGAAAATCAACTCCAGTGGCTTCTATACAATAAATTATCACTTAACTCAAAAAAAACTGAAATTATTATCTTTAAATCAAGTCAAACAAACAAACAAAAAAATATTATTTATAATGTATATTATTATAATCTACTTCTCTTTTATTGCTATATTATTTTAATTAAGTATATAAAAGTCATATCCTAGATAGGTGTACAAAAGTAAATTGCTTTTTGTCATAAATTTATCAAACTTCTTAATTATTATTCCATAAAGTTTTTTGTTTAAGTATTGTACAGTTTTACGTTTATTTGTTTTTTTTTTGTTTTTTTTGTTTTGTTTTACTTTCTTATTATGGTGTTTACTTAAAGTTAGTACTTGTACTATACGTAAATAATCCATGAAATGTAAAATCTTTTTCAGAATACATTTGATTTGATTTTATAAGTACTCGCCCAGATTTTGTTACAGTTATTGATGTAACTGTAAATAAAAGAGAAATAAATATTATTTAAACAAGTTGTATTAAGAAGATGATTTGATTTATACATAATTCCAATAGTTTTAGATATTTTCTTTTGCACTTTTTTGATATGATTTCTCCAGCTAACACTTTTATTAAGAGTTATACCTAAAAGGTTAATTGATTATTCTTTTTTAAGTTTAGTTTTGTCGATAAGCAGTTTAGGAAGTTTTAAGAGGAGGGTGTCTGAACCAGAAGATTTTGTAAAAAGAATATATTTGCTTTTTTCTACGTTTAGCAAAAGTTTGTTCGCTTTAAACCATTCGTTTAGATTTTCTAGCTCTTGATTAAACGTATTAAACATAAAGTTAATGTTTTTGTGGCTAAAAAATACTTGCGTATCATTAGCAAAGAGAACAAAGTTGAGTTTATTGGAATATGAGAAGATATCATTAATATAAACAAGGATTAGCAATAATGCAATAATACAAGGAATAGCAATAATGCAATAGCAATTATGATACGGTAGAAGCAGATGAACCCCTAGAAAAAGTTTTCAGGGTAGCAAACAATCTAGACAAGCATTTTTTTTTATTTTATTTAAAAACATAGTTTATTAAATCAAAAAAAAGTCTTAAATTGTATCTTGAATATTAAATTATGGTACATTACTTGAATGCATAATTTAATTTGACGCGATGAGTTAATACAGGAATAATAAACTTATTATTCATAAGAAGATGACAAATCTCACTCTCAAGATGCATTTAAGTCATCCATTATATAATTTTAAAAATAAATAATTTTAAAGTAACTTGATTTGAGCTTTAAATGTTCCTAATTAACCAATGTTTGAGCTACATATCAAAAGTGTAATCCTAATGTTTGCGTTATCAAGCATAACAATATTGTAGTTTTAGGTATATAACAAAGTTTTAAAGTAGTACACGTTCATTTTAAATAAAAAAATTTTATAAGGTTGTTCAGTCGGCACTTTAGACTAAAAAAATAATAGTTAAGACTTAAAAAATAATAGTTCAGTAAAAAACGTTACACTTGGATCACAATCTAGGAGATCATATAGATAAAAGTATTCTAAATGGCATAAAGTTTTAGAGTTCAACTCGGTGTTGATAATTTTATCAACACTCTTGTTCCAAGTTTTATTTCTTATTAAGTCACCATAGGTATAAATATTTCTTTCAAAGAAGTTTAAAGGTTATTTGAACTCATAACTTATTGAATTACGATTCTATCGTTTGAATAAGGTTTACGTGTTATGGAAACGTTTTTAAATTTAAAATTCAATTTTACTATTCATATTGTCAATAAGAAAAATACTTTTAATAAATAAGCTGTTACTTTTTTTTTAATACATAAAATTTGCAAATTTTTACAACGAACATTAAACGAGGTGGTTATTTATTTAATAGGCGACTAATGTATTAAAAAAAAAACTATTGTTAAACAAGTATTGTTTAAAAGTAAAAACAATTTTAAATAGTTAATAAAAAATAAAGTTTTTAAAATTGGAGTATTGGAATGTCTTCAAATCAAAAGCAATCAGTTTCATCAAGAGGAGGATCAATCACAAAAAGAGAATCAACCGCAGGGAGAACGTCAACTGTAAGAAGAGAATCGATTACTAGAAATGATTTTGATAATATGTACCCTCATAATCATTTATTTGTTCTCAAACCAGAAAATGCTTTTCGCAGAGCATGCGTGAAAATCAGCACTTCAAAACCTTTTGAGAGTTTCATAATGCTTGTCATAATTTCAAATTGCGTCATGATGGCATTAAATGCTCCCTTGCCAGAGGGAGACAAGTCAAATATTAACACAAAACTGGTATGTAAAGTTAATTTATTACTCATTAGTTTTAAAAACTTTATTGAAGTAGATTGCTTATTTTTGCTTTTTACTATTAACTTAAAGATTTTGGAAATGTAAAATAAAAAAAAATAAAAAAATAGTATTATATAAGTTATAATTATTTCACAAATAAATTATTTATCTTAAAAATTTAAGAAATAGTAACCATAAAAAGTGTAACTCAATTTTTTTTCTGTTATTATAAAATATATAAACACACAAGTGGATTAAAATTATTATAAACAGTAAAAAAAGTAAAATTATTTTTAAATTTTATTATGTTATAAATTTATTTTATCAAAAATATAGGGGAAGTTCTTGTATTTTGGGCAGATTTTTTCAATGCCCAAGTTCAAGACCCCAGACTTGTCTAAAAATGGTATAAATGGTATGATCACATTTCTTTACTAATTACTTTGTATTAATATTGGTACAAAGACTTAGATTATAAAATTCCGTCATCTAGAAGGGTTTAAAAGGTATTGATTCTAGGTTCAGTAGTTTCATTTTTAATGGTACCAAGAGCCACTAGCTATTGTACCCTGGCTGATCTCTGAAAATAATGTTCAACACCATTGTGAATTGACAACAAAGATAAGCACATAAATTGATCAAAAATTTATTTAACCTTACATTGTTACCAACAACTTTATCTAGTGTTACTTGATTGCAACTCTTAAATAAATAACAAAATTGACTAATAGTTCTGAGCAAAATTGACAAATAAGTCTATGCGTGAAATAGTAATCCCAAAACAACTGTAAGAAAAAAAAAGAATTCCGCGCCAACCAAAATTAAACAATCTACCTCGTGATCAAGCACATTCTTTGCGCACATATGGTCCAAGGTACAAGCAGACTATATGGTCCTTAGTGCAAAGCTTGATAGCCTCATAAAAATGTCATAGTTTAACAAACTCGGATTGAGAGGAAACTTATTGAACATTGCATTTAGTATTTAAAAAAAAAACAATATAATACACAAGAAATTATGGAAAAGCATTTCCTCAACGATTGTAAAACAATGTAAGATGCTTGCAGAAAAATTTACTTTAGACCATCAAAAAACGTTTTCCAATTATAACTTGCCTCCGTTCATCTTGAGCACCGTTTTCTGAGAATCAAAATAAGAATAAAAAATTATTTTTTTATAACTAATAACCTGACTGAGAAGCTTGAGTTAGAACTTTAAAGTTTTCATTTTAAAGATGTTGGAAAATTGTACTAGTAGTCTTTTCTAATAAATATGTGGTTTTAGTATTATTTAATTATGAAAATATAAAACTAACAATAATCTATAATGGCTTAGTTAGCAACAATATCTTAAAAAAAACACGCTGTTTTAGATCTTCTTGTTCCTTTTAAATCAAATTAACATTTCTTGTAAATGTTTTTTAAAACATTCGGATTTATAAATATTGATTTTTTTTCTGTTGTAGATTCAATATTATAAATATTGAATCTACAACAGAAAAAGCCGTGACAGTTTCTGGTACATTTCTATTAAAGGTAATGAGGTCAAACTCCAATCTGTACAGTATAGCTTGGGTTACCACCTGCAAATAAATTAGTATTCATTTGTAATTAGCAATCGTAGCTGTAATGTACAGATTTAATAATTTACAGATAACAGACAAATACAGATATATTACTGCGATACTATTTAAAGGACACTAACTGCGATACATTTAATAGCGAAGAATAATGGTGTGGTTGAAAGTGGAAAGTTATGAAATAATAATTTTCAATGAGTAAAATTAAGGGGTTACTGAACAATGTTTCAGTCTTTGAATTACTGCCATTTAAAAAATACAACTGTGTAAGAGATAAAAATAATCTGCATTGCTAAACGGTAAAAAAGTACTACAAGCTTTTTGTTTGATTAATGGGTGGAGCATTCGCTAAGGCTGCAATCAACCTGATACTAATAACTGAGATTTCTGCTAGTTAACAACGGTTAACTGACAGAAACAGACAGTGGTAGTAAAGTTTTTTTTTTTAACTGATTACAAAAAGATAATGGAAGACAGGATCTAATAAATAGATAATGCACAATGAGTACCAACACAATGTTATACCCTTACATTAAAAAATAAAAGTAATTTTAAATTTTAAAAATCTTTTAACTCTAAGGTAGAAGTCTACATTAGTATAAATTATTTACTATTTTTATTGAATACTTTTTTTTGAGATTTAATATGTACGTTCGGAATTAGGAATACGTGTTTCTAATTCCGAACAAGAAACTTTACTTTTTAAAATTAAAAATCAACAATATTTTCATTATAAATATACTTGTTGCTTAACATAGTTCGATTCAGTTTAGGTTTCAGTTTATTTATTTCAAAAAATTAATTTGAAAGATTTTAAGAGCGATTTTGTTCGGAATTAGTACTATTCAGTTAAAAGATCCAAGTTGTTTTACGTTCCATTAACTTTAATTCAAAATAAATTTAGAGCATTTGATGCTCCTTATAAAAATATTTTGAATTGAGAAACACAAAGTTTGTAACACCCGTTTAATATACCCGCCTAATACACCCGTCTAATACATTGTTTAATACACCCGTCCGTCCTTTTTTTGTGTGAAAAAGTTGTAGTTTTTGGACGTGTGCCTAAAAATACTCAATCAAATAATTACATTGGGTATTTTCTTAAAAAAAGTCGTTTTAAGTTTTAATCTAATGAGATTTGACTATCAAGGTTTTTAGCTTGCACGCATCTCAGTGGGGCAGAAAAGCTTTAAAACTGGACAAAATTAATTTTTTCTTTGTTTTGAATTTTTAAGTTAAATAATTGTTTTAAGGGCACTTGTTAGGTTTAGGAAAAATTACTTTATAGATTTTTAAACATTTATTTACAATTGTCAGACGTTTTTAATGTATTTTCGGGTAACTTCTAGTAAAATGTTTTTAAAAAAACCAGTAAGTGATAGTAGAAAAAAGAAAAAAGTCAAAAGCTTGCATGAATAAACAATATTAAAACGTATTTTAATCGATTCAGTGAATAAATTACAATAATTTGAATTTAATGTAAAAAGTCACTCTAAAAAAGTTACTCGAAAACTCGATTAGGTTTATTCGTTTGAAAAAATTAAATAAAAATATAATATTCTAAATACACTTTTTTGAAAGACCTATTAATGTATATTTTAAGCACTTTAAAATTGTATTTTCATTAGAAATAGATAGCGGCAAACCTAAAATTGACGAATCCTGAAAAAATTAAAAACTTTTAACAAGCTTCAGCTTTAACACTATGAAAACAAAGTAGTAATAATAATTCGCGCGAGTTATTTTTTAAACAAAGGAATTAAGCTAGATTATGGGTTCTTCAGGGTTAAAGGTCAGTCCTAGCCTAAAAAAAACACGCGGATAAGACGGACGAGAGACTCTTTTATACATTACCATCAAAAAATGTTTTATAACCTTTTTTTATTTTCGTCAAATGTCCAGTTTTGAAGCAATTATGTCCCCTCTGCGCGCCGTAACGGAAATAATTAATTTCAAAAAAATATCCACCAGAAGCCCTAATTTTATGGTAAATTTTAAATAATACGTTAATTATAGTAAATGACGTCTACATTATGAGTAAAAATACATACAATACTCCTCTGTTTAGTATACTTGCTATTCACCTTAATCTACTAAATTTGTCTTTCAAAAGGATCAGGAATTACAGAAGTTAAAGAAGGAAGTGTGAACAAAACACGTGGGTTCTTTTTAAAACCATTTGATTTAAACAATGAAAACTTTCCTGATGGTATTTGTACTAAATGTAGAAAAGCATTAGAAAGACTTGAAAAAGGAATTTAAAACACCAAGCTTAAAGTTAGTATTCTTATCAGAAACCAATCATTCTGTGTTTGTGAAATCTATAAAGTTGCTCAGACTACAATTACTCCAGGATCAACATCTGAAAATAGCGGGAGAATCTATTTGGGAAGTGTAAAAACATCATCACCTGGAGCAATAAAAGTATGTAAAAATTGCAGGGTTTTTATTGGACAAAGATTACCCCACCTCTTGCACTCTCACAAAGGGAAGCTAGAGCGAGTCTTTTATTCTTGATTTATAAAATATTTAAAAAATAAAAACTAAAAGCAAGGATGTATGTTTATTTTGATATTAAAATACACGAGGTGCAGAACTTTTATGTTTAAAAACTACTATCTCTACCAAATGTATTCTGCAGAGACGCCACGAATGTTCGGCAACTATTCGGTATTTGGCAACATTTTATACTTTTCGTTATTCAGCCTAATATTGCAAACTATTCGGCCGAAAACCGATTACTGAAGCATAACAAAAAATCGCATTAGAAATAGATTATATTACTCTATGTTACTATGTTACTAACTTTTGAACTCAAGAAAAGTTGCAACCAAATATTTGTCACTTTCATTAAAGTTGAACTGCGATTTATGTTTAGATTAAAGCAAAGATCTCATTGTTGATAAGTTCGGTGTTCTCTGTGCTGTCTTTTCTTTTCCCAAGTATTTTAACAAAGTGACAACATGTGGAATTACCTCAGAAATGCAAGAAATACTCGAGCTGGTTATTTTTGTAATTTCTTCGAACGTTTTGAGAAGTATAATACATTGTTCCACTAACTCCCATTGAGCAGGTGTTAAATTGTTTAACGAATCATGATCAGTTATGTTCACCAAAACAGCTCGCTTTTGTTCTAATAATCTCTCTAATAAATAGTGTTTTGAATTTATGCGTGTGCTTACGTCTTGTATTAATTGGTGGTCTGGCAGTTTAAATTTTTTGTCGTATGGATTTGAGCTTTTCTTATGCGATACTAGAGTGATTTGTTAGCTGTCATAGATACTGCTATTGCTTGTGAAATAATAGCTTCAATTGTAGTGCAAATTTTATTAAGTATATCGGGTATGATTTTCTCAATCATGTTAGTGCAGCGAGGTATTTTGTATTGCGATACTGTCTTTTCTATAAACTTGTTGAAGCCAACTTGTTTAACAAGTGATAATAGATCGTTGTCAGTCATTTCTCCAATTAAGAATGATATTTTATTGATTTCAGATCATTAATATCCCAACACAATTTTGCTTTAAGCTGTCTTTTTCAGAGTTAACTGTTTATTTTTTAACATAACTGTTACTTTTGGTATCTTAGAGTCGATATAAGTGAGGGAACCCTCATTTTTTGATCCCTCTTGCCTGCAGAGCTCCAGTTAACTTAGCATACTGCTCAGAATACTTGTTTTAAATGTGTTTTTCCAGAGAAGTTGTAGCTGGAAACAAAAAAAAATATTTAAACTTAGAGTAATTAAAGTACCTACTGTGCAAAAGATCTAAGAATAAAAAAATTACCAGCGTAAACATATTTAATTAGTTATGTTATACGTATTATTAAAAAAAAAAAGTACAAATAAAAATTCGCTTAACATCTTTTCGCATTAACGACCCGCTACCATTATTATAATCATGCCCGATAAAAGATATACTTCAAGGCTATCATAACAGATAAAGTCTAAACATGTTAGCACGTGAGCCTTTTATTTTAATTTTTTAAACTGCAAAAATTTGTTTCCTGTTTTAGTTAATTACCGAAAATACTTTTTTTTAAATTGAATATATTGTATATAAAAATTCTGAATATTATGGGTTATTTAAAAAACTTTAAACTCTATCAACACAGTATTTACTCCTCTAAATACTATCAACACAGTATATTATTTATAACAATCATTATTATTATAATTATAATAACAATAATAATAGTAAAATAAGACTATTTTAAAGTATATAAAAAAATTATACATTTTTTAGGAACAATTTGAAGTGTATATGCTTGCAATATTTATATTAGAAGCATTTTTAAAAGTTGTGTCTCAAGGGTTTATTTTACACGCTAATTCATATCTACGAACTCCGTGGAACATTCTTGATTTTGTTGTTATTGTCACAGG